CCCTAATCTAGACAAAAGTGTTGTGCGGATCAGAAGGTTTATGATGTTGCATTCATGGTTGGTGAGCGGGTCTTGCTCCGGGTTTCGCCTATGAAGGGTGTTATGAGGTTCAGAAAGAAGGGCAAGTTGAGCCCGAGGTATATCAGACCTTTTGAGATTCTTGAGAGAGTTGGAGAGGTGGCTTACAGACTTGCACTACCACCTAGTCTCTCTGCATTTCATCCGGTATTCCATGTTTCTATGCTCCAGAAGTATCACGGCGATCCGTCTCATGTGTTAGACTTCAGTTCAGTTCGGTTGGACAAGGATCTATCTTATGTTGAGGAACCAATGGCTATTTTAGAAAGGCAGGTTCGAAAGCTGAGGTCAAAGAATATTTCTTCCGTTAAGGTTCAGTGGAGGGGTCATCCGGTCGAGGAGGCGACTTGGGAGACCGAGCAGGATATGCGCAGCCATTATCCTCTTCTTTTTACCACTTCAGGTATGTCTCTATGCTCGTTCGAGGACGAATGATTGTTTTAAGAGGGGGAGGATATAACGACCCGGCCAGTCATTTTAAAAGTTGTAGCCCCATTCCCCTATTTACTGCTCATTCTGTACTTTATAACTGATATATGACTTGCTGGAGTAATTGGTTTAGGTCCGGTGAGGTTTTGGAATGAATTGGAACACTTAGTTCCAAGTTTTAAAGCTTAAGTTTAAATAGTGACTGGATGCCGACTTATGTCCAAATGACCCCGGAATAAAATTTTGATAATTCCAACAGCTCTGTATGGTGATTTTGAGCTTAGGAGTGTGTCCGGAATTTTATTTGGAAGTCCGTAGTTAAATTAGGCTTGAAATGGCTAAAGTAGGAAATTTAAGTTTGGAAGTTTGACCGAGGAGTTAACTTTTTGATATCGGGATCGGAATACAGTTCTGAAAATTTTCATAGCTCCGTTATATCATTTATGACTTGTGTGCAAAATTTGAGGCCAGTCGGACTTGATTTGATAGGTTTCGGCATCGAATGTAGAAGTTGAAAATTCTTAAGTTTCATTAAGCTTGAATTGGGGTGTGATTTGTGATTTTAACGTTATTTGAGGTGATTTGAGGATTCGACTAAGTTCGTATGATATTTTAGGACTTGTTGGTATGTTTGGTTGAGGTCCCGGGGGCCTCAGGTGAGTTCCAGATGGTTAACGGATCAAATTTGGACTTAGAACAATTGAAACTTGCTGCTGCCTGCTGATGCAAGCGCACCTGCGGAATTTGGCTCGTAGGTGCGAGCGTGAGAACGCAAAAGCGTAAAAGGAAGAGTGGAGCAGTGGCCGCATGTGCAAAGGAAAATACTGCATCTGCGGGACCGCAAATGTAGACAAGGGATCGCAGAAGCGAAGCTAGTCGCAGAAGCGAGGGAGTTCTTCGCATCTGCGAAAGCGCAGATGCGGTCACGTGCATCGCAGGTGCGAAAGCACTGACCAGATTATATAACAGAGGGGTTCCAACATTTTTGTCATTTTGGACATTTTTAACACGATTTTGGGCGATTTTTTAGAGAGAATTCACGGAGAAACTTAAGGTAAGTCCCTCGTGATCATTTCTACTCCATAATATTGAATTATCACCGAATAATCCGACTAGATTACATATTTTTGAGGTGTAAATCGGAGATTTGAACTTAGGGATTTGAAAATAAGATTTGAAGATTTGGAGGTCGAGTTGAAGTCGGATTTTAGTCATTTTAGTATGGTTAGACTCGTGGTTGAATGGGCGTTCATATTTCATAATATTTGCCGGATTCCGAGACGTGAGCCCCACATGCGATTTTTGAGTTAATTTCGGATTTTTATTGAAAAGTGTAGTATTTTCTTATGGAATTAATTCTATAATTTTTGTTGACTGTATCGAATTAATTATGACTAGATTCGAGTCGATTGAAGTCGAAAAATCGAGGAAAAGGCATACTACTTGATTAAATTGGAGCAAGTCGAGGTAAGTGACTTGTCTAACCTTGTGTGAGAAAAATTTCCCCTAGGATTGGTATTGCTGTGATAATTGTAATGTGATGAAAGTCGTGTATACGAGGTGACGAGTGTGTACACGGGCTAAATGTGAAAGATTATGTTTTTAAATTGTGTAGATCAATGTTGCATATTAATTAAATTATTAAATCTTGTTATATTCTCCATCATTGATCTGATTTATATACTTTAAATTTGCTTGACCTTCTCCTGCTAATTGTTTTTACCTGTTTAGCTGAAACTTGGTTTCTTTTATTCTGTGCATTATTTGAAGGTGGAATTTCTTTAATTTAAATATTATTAATATGAATTATTTGATATTTTATATTTGGAACTGAGGCAACGTATTAAAATTTTGTAAATATTATTTTGCTGAGTTATTTATTCCCGAATATTTTGTGAGATTTTGTACTCATTGTGATTGAGCCGTGAGCTCCATGTTGTGGAAAACATTGTTGATGTTGTTTATTTTGGCAAATTAAATTATTTGGGCACTTGAGGTGCAAATTGTGATATATTGTGATATTGATACGTATGCGGTGGTATAAGATGTTGGTGTTAAAACGCATGCGGTGAGATAAGGGTGGCTTGATACGCGTGGCTAGTAGGGGAACTACTAGAAGTCATGCGGTGTGACAAGGGTGGCTAAAACGCGGGATGCTATTTTGGAAAAAATATTTTTCTTTAAAATTAAATGTGAAGGATCCCGCGGTGATATAAGGAAATGAGATATTGTGAATTTATTTATGATTTGGGACTACGAGGCTGTAACTCGGGAGTGCCCTTGTTGATATTGATTTATGGCCGCAGTTGCCTTTGATTATTGTTGTGATTTTCTTAAAGTTAAAAAAGAATTCTGTTTTGTTTCCACGAGGTATTATTTGCCATTATTTTGCGTAGTTAATTGGTGACATACTACTTACTTGATTCATTTCTATTGTCATTTTATTTTTATTATATTGTTAAACATTTAACCTTGTCTTTTATTATACTAGTAGGGCTTGGCCTGACCTCGTCACTACTCTACCAAGGTGAGGATTGGCACTTACTGGGTACTGTTGTAGTGTACTCATACTACGCTTCTGCACATCTTTTTGTGCAGATCCAGGTACATCCTACCAGTCCATACATTAGTAAGCTACCTGTGTACGGAGATTTCAAGGTATATTTGCCAGCGTCCGCAAACTCCGGAGTCCTCTTCTATGATTATTATGTTGCTTCCTTATTTTTCTTAGACCCTGATATATATAGAAACATTGAGGATAAATTCTTAGAAGCTTGTGACTTATTTCTACCGGGTTTTGGGAGTTGTAATTATGTGAATTTGAAGATTATTTATTTCAGATTTTTATTATTATTCCGCATTGATAGGCTTACCTAGTTTTAGAGATTAGGTGCCATCACGACATCCTACGGAGGAAATTTGGGGTCGTGACAACCAGTTTGCAAACCAGATACATAAACTTACAGTTTTTCATGTGAACACTCCAACGTGACGGAATAAATACTAATAAATACATCCTGTAGAGTGTGTATATCAATTGTGTTGACATGTACAACACATCATATGTTAGACTATTTATTACTTGATATGTATTATTTGTGGGTCTCATTTTAAATACTAAATCAGCAAAAAAGAAGTTACAAATGCAAAAAAGAAATAAAACCTACTACTACTTTGAAGGTGTTTGACATGAACTCATTATATTTTTAAAATTAAACCTATTATTTTTTTATAGTTTTAGTAAATTTTTATATATAAAATTATATTTCGTGTTAAAAATACCGAGTTCAATTAACTCGATGCTGCAACTCTATATCCGCCTCTGCCACTGGCGACTAATGCAGGAGAAACCAAAAAACGAAAAAGAAAAAGGGTGGCGGCCAGGCAGTAGGGCAAATATATTGTTCGTTTTTTCATGATGAAGGATTTGGTCATATAGTGCAAATAAATACAGCGCTATGTACATGCATAGTATTACTTGACATTGTTGAAGTCGAAATTTCCCTCTTATTTTCTATTGGCGAAAAACATACTTAAATTAGCAATATCAGTCAAATGGAACTGATAAGAAAAAGGGAACACGCCTCTACCAATGATTAATGACTGGTTGAAGCTAGAGGGAACGAATTATGCGACGACAGCACTGGCGTCAGCAAAAAGGTCGGACAAAAAAAGGAAAGCCAGTGGGGCAGAGGCGGATCAACGGTTGAAATTCAAAAATTGTCAGATTTATAAATGATAATCGAAAAATAGTCACAATTTCAAAAGTAATCAAAATTTATCTATTTTTCATGTAAAGATAAATATGAACGAAAATACTGTTCAAAATTTGAAAAATATTCCAGCATAATATACTGGACTTCCAACATAATATACTGAAATTTCAGTATAATATATTGCTCCAGCATAATATGTTGGAAGTTCGTACACAGGTGATTCAATCTCAAGTATATTGTGTTGGAACTTTTCGTGTGTTGGAGGAAGTTCATACACATGTGCACCAATCTCCAGTATATTATGCTGGAACTTTTCGTGCTGCAGCAAAATAATGGTTGTTTTTCAATGACTTTGCAAACGCTGACTATTTTTTAATTACCGATCCGAAAACTGGCTAGCCCGTGCTATTTTTACGGATGCAACGTATTGTTGCCGGGTTCATCTGAACTCGATGACCCCAATACTTTTGGCACACAACATAATTTATGTGTAAAATTCATCAAAATTATAATAAGTAGTCGATGTAAACCCATAATTTTTAAAAATATCATGAGTTTAATGTTAATTATAAATTTAAATTGAGAATTTGCCTTTGCCGTGGGTCCTCATTGATGACGTGACTAATATATACTATTGTAATTTCTTGGAAAAGTAAAAATTAAGGAGAGGTAGGAGAAGCAAAAAAGAGTACAACTATTTGCTTCATATGGTAGTTCCCTGCTTCCGATTCTAATACCAAAAAATAAATATTGAAGCTGGCAAACGAATTGGTAACCAAAGCTTAAACGAATTCACTATTTATCATTTAATTTCTCATACCTGATATAGCATTTCTAGTGCACCGCCATCGTCAGCTCCAAAAGCTCATTAGTAACATATACGTATGCGTAATGCATGCGTTTTTGTGCATTTATTTCATCTCTTCAACTGCTTCCCTTATTTGTCTCGTTTCAGAAACTACAGTCACCTCCTTTCCACTTGTCGTATATAGAGTATATCATTTCTTCTCCCCTCCCATATCCCTCTTCTACCCCTCCGTCGCTACCTAAATTGAACACTGAAAGAAAGGGAAAGAGGACAGTTGATGTTTTTGATTCACAAATATTGTCCAAAGAATCTCGAGGTTGCTTTTCAAAATCGAATATTTTTTCCTTGTGTCTATTAAAATTTGCCTAATTATACCACCCATTCAGCACTAGTTGGTTTCTTTTATCTTATTACTACGAAAAGGCGGCGACTTTACTGTTTCATTGCATTGCCTTTTTGACGTTTCTTTTCATTTTCACATGTGCCGTGCTAACTTTTGCTTTCTGTCCTGTTTTTTAATTCATCCTCACATGTTTTATATATCTTTTGCCTTTTGTTTTGATTTTTTTTTCTGGTGTGAATAGAATTGAGGTTCAATTGAAATACTCTGCCCGTAATTTCACAATTTTCCAACAAGAGATGGGGCTTTTGGATCTCTTCATCGCTGCATCAATGCCGGTCCTTAAAGTGCTTTTGATTACGGCACTTGGATTAGTACTTGCTCTGGATCGTATCGACTTATTGGGAGAAGATGCAAGAAAACATTTGAATAATGTGAGCTTATACTTTTTTTTGGCTTTCGCTATTCATTAATTCTTACTAAATGAGTATTTCAACTATTCTTTGTCCCCCAATTCAAGGTAGAAGATGATTGATTGACTGCTTATGTTTCTTTACTGACTTGACCAGCTTAATATGGACTCACGTGACTAGGGAAAATGCTCTTCCATTTTTATGGTTTGATTGATTATGTCTCAAGCTACATTTGTCGTTTCACTTAAATCTTGAAACTTGGGGTTCACTCCTCTAGCAACATAAGGAAACAATATGGGGTAACCGTACGTGGTGTTTCAAAGTAGTTAATTGCATTGGATAATTTTAGTACTGGCTGCAGTATTATTGACACAATCTTCATTTGGCGCGCCTTTGTTCTTTTTTGAAGGATAAACACTTTGTCGTTTATTTTTAACTTAATATACTCCCTTTTCATAAATCTTTAGTCTTGCATCTACATTTTTTTGGTTGAACCATGCATAACATCCGAGGCTTTTAGTAATTTCTTGCTGGTTTCTAAATTTTAACTCGCTGAAACTGCAGTTGATTAATAACTGAATGTTGTTGGTGATATCTTCATGTTAACTGTTGATAACTTATTGCACATCACATAGATAGAGAAAGTTTGATTTATTGGACTTAAGCGAAGCTAAAATATTTTAATGTGGGCTGAGATTTTGGTGAATAGCATAGCCTAGAATTACTCTGGAACGTTTCATTTTGATTTGTCTAAAGTAGTAGAATATGCATGTTAATGAGGATTCCAAGGACTTTGATTAGGAAAGTATCTGAACAATTTTAGATAGAGAAAGTTCATTGAAGTTACAAGGTCTGGAATCTGCAGTGTTTAACTTATAGAACAATAATTTAAAGAGTTCCAGAAGTAGTTATAACTTTTTAGTGTACTCTGACAGGATGAAATACTTCTAAGAAAAAGCACTGTGCAAAAAATGGGACAACTATAGCTTTTGTTACAGAGGCTCCAAATGTTCTCACTGATTGCACCAACTACATCAATATCTGCAAGTTCATAGGTAGAAGTGGGTCTTGTGTTATTTGTTCATTGTATCAAATCGTAGACTATCTAAACTACCATTTACCTTTTCTCAATCGACTGTCTAAGTGAAACCTTAGCCCAGATGGTAAGTGTCTTCTATTACTTTTTCTTTTTGTTAATGAGGTAGCATTCATATGGTGTGCTAATTTGTTTGGTAATGCTGATGCACCTCCTGCAAGCAGATCGTCTTTTTTGTATTCAATCCAGCCCTTGTCTCCAGCAACTTAGCCAAAACAATCACATCTGAAAGCATGAAAAAATTGTGAGTTCTCATGTCCATTTAATTCACTTAACACTCTGTGCTTCAAAAAGTCTCTCCTATTCACTCTGTCACAATTGTAGGTGGTTCATGCCTTTGAATATCCTCTTCACCTTTATTATTGGTTCAATTCTTGGTTGGGCAGTCATTCAAATTACAAGGCCTCCTCAACATCTACGTGGACTGGTTGTTGGCTGTTGTGCTGCAGGTATGTAGACCAGCAAGAACCTCAGTGATGAAGATCTCAAATCCATTCGAAGTTATGAGAATCTCTTTTGTACTGTATCAACTCAATTGATATCAATTTCCTCATCAAGGTTAAAGTAAATATACAACATAGTATGACTAGCCTAATGATGCTGCCACTCTGCAATTCAGATAAGAATAAGTCTCTCGAGATCTTATATGAATTGCTCTGTCTAAAAGGTGTGTTGGTTGGAGAGTTTGCTTTGGAAGTGATACCATTTTACTTTTTTAAGTAGAGAAAGGAATTGGAGATCATTCAAATTTCACCAGAGAGATGTTGGTGATGGAAGGCCAAGCAAATCGATTATGTTTCACATACCTGTAGAACCAACGTGATAGGCAAAATAACTTTACCTCGAATCGAGACAGTAGGTAGATTATAGATGTCCCTGGTTCCTGTGCAATATATAATGTAGGTAGATTTTTTCTTTAGGTAAAAGCACATTTTGAGTCCTGGTGAAATGAGAAATATTCAACAAAAGGAAGTTAATCTGTATGCCTATAAAAGTGTTCCTGGTCGTTGTGTTGATCTATTGGTGCATTTCAATGCTTTCTTCTGTTCAGATCATAATCTGAGTATTAAAAAAAAAGGAAACGGCCAGGAGGTGTTAATGGATTTTATAGGACATGCATAAGAACTTTCGAGTATCCCAGAACTAAAATTGAGACAAAGGAAGAAATCAACTAGCTTATTTCAAGTAACAAGTAATTCTTGTAGAAATAGGATGAATAAAAGATGCAACAGAGCTCTCTTGCACGATGAGTAGTATCCAAGTTATCAAAAATAATGATTTTTCCTTTTCACGGACAGGAAACTTGGGCAACATGCTTCTCATTATCATTCCAGCCGTTTGTAAAGAGAAAGGGAGCCCTTTCGGGGATCCTGGTGTTTGTCACACATATGGAATGGGCTATGCTTCGCTTTCGATGGCGGTATGTGTCTCTTAACTACTTTTGTTGGTTTCACAAGGATTTTATTGCATGATTGGAAGGGTATCCAACATTAAAATGATGACCATAATAATTCCCTTTTTGGCATGCGAGGAAAATCTAATGCTTTCCCGGTGACTGTTCTTTTTCAGGTAGGGGCGATTTACCTGTGGTCTTATGTTTATAATATCGTGAGAATATCGTCAAGTAAGAGCTCAAAGGAAGTTGAGATTAATGATTCCTCCGCCAGTAGATCTCCGAGAGAAAGCTCTATATCGCAACTTGGGACATCAACAGAATCACTACTTCCATCGAAGGCCTTCAATGGATCCGAGTCCCCACCTGAACAGCTTGAGCTGCCTTCCACTAGATTTGATCACAAAACTCAGGTTAATTATTGATCCACATTTCAATCTAGGATGCTCCAAGCTATACAGCAATTGAAGTCCTTTTCCACTCCTTCCCCCCACCCCACAGACGCAGGAAAAAACTACTCCCTCCGTCCCAATTTATGTAATGATGTTTGACGGGGCACGAAGTTTAAGAAACAAAAAAAATACTTTTGGAACTTGTGGTCTAAAATAAGTATATTTGTGTGTGGCTATGGATCATTAATAGTAAAATGGGAAGTTTAAAGTTAGATTGTTTCTAAAATCGAAATGTGTCATTCTTTCTGGACAAACTAAAAAGGAAGTACCATCACATAAATTGGGATGGAGGGGAGTAATTAGCAAGTGAGAGGAAAGATGTTACATAGGAAAACTGAGCTGATGCATATGAATAACATGAAAGAGAGGCCCTCTAGGACTGGTAAATGGAGAGGGTGAGATAGGGTTAACCTTATAGCCAGAAATTGTTGTGAAGGAGTCATCACATGAGCTTTAACACATTACGTTATGCAACATTAATGTTCTGCTTTCTTCTGAGATTACGCTGCGTTTCTGCTGAGATTACGCTGTACTAGGTAACCTCGGTTTTGAGTTTTAGGTGATTCATTCTGGTTTCATGTTTGATTAGTTGTGTTCTAAGAATGGATTCCAGCTGAATTTCACTTTCACACATATCCATTCAAGATTTCACTTATTTTGTGTTAAAAGTTATCACATCAATTTGCTCGATGTTAAATTTTCGCAAGACATGAAGATGCTCTCTATTTATGCACCGTTTTTAATTTTCTTTCTCTAAGTTAATAAACACAATTATGCATCAAATTTTATATTGGTGTTTGAATTTTGTTAACAGATGCAGCCTGGGACTAAATTTAAGCAGTACATGGAGATTATTTCGAGAAAGATCAACCTGAAGAGGTTATTAGCCCCTTCTACCACTGGAGCGGTACAATTCTATTGTTATTCCTTTTTCTGAACTTGTTTGTATTGCACAATTCTCCTAATTCTACTTTAGCGCTTCTAATACGTTAGGCTAAAAGGAAGATATGCTGAAACTCTTTCGTCATGCAGTTGCTATTTATCAATGACATAAAACCTCAAACCTATTTTTTAAGGAGTAATAGCAAGGCACGTCTTAAACCTGTCCACCCTGAAAAATGGCTTTCTTAATTTTTTCTGTCCTTAAGGAATTCTTCTTATGAGAGGTTGTATATTAGCAACCATTAATGCTAGTTCTTTGTTTGTAATTCGTAGGGTGGTTTCCAATGTGTTCTAGGTTCTAAAAATCTCTAATTATGATAGGCATCTGTAGCAGCATGAGCATGCATACACCTCATTGGAGTAGTTCATTGATATCATCTGTCAATACGTGGTTCAGAAACCACAATGAGATTCATGAATTTAGGTTAAGGCTTTTCTTTTGTTTTCCTTTTTTGGGGATAAGCAGCCTACTTTATTTTAGCATTTTATAGATCCTCTAGATCTTAGCAGTCACAGTATCTATTTGCTGAATAACTTCGCAAATTTGTGGGCTCGCTCTTCAACTGTGCACCAGTTCACTGACAAGTGGTCAATTTTTTTACAGCTTGCAGGTTTTATAGTTGGACTAATACCTCAGATAAGAAAGCTGATGATTGGTGATGTAGCACCTCTTCATGTGATCGAAGATACAGCTATTTTACTTGGGTATGACACATCTCCTAGTCTCTTTGAATAGACCACAACATTTGGTTCGTTTTTTGAGAATAATGAAGAAATAAACTGCTATATCTTGAGAGTACCTTTATGCGATGCAATGGCTTTAGAATGTCCTTACTCCTCACGCAGAGCCATATATATATGGTTTCTAGCTGCAGATAGTCGTGGAAACAACTTCTTGCAGAAATGTAAGGTAAAACTGCGTACAATAGACCCTTGTGATCCAGCCCTTCCCTGGACCCCGCGCTTAGCGGGAGCTTAGTGCACCGGGCTGTCCTAGCTGCAGATAGTAAAGTATACTGATATGTCACAAGATCATATTTTAGCGAATGGCGACATTAGATTGGAGTAGTCTGCAGTTGCTAGCTAGTATCTAATACTATATGTGTCTACCAAGTTGTCAAAACTTGTGCTGCTTGATCGCGCACCGAGTGTGTAGCATCTTAGACTTATTCAAATGATTGCAGGGATGGAGCCATCCCACTTCTAACGCTGATCATGGGAGGTAACCTTTTGAAGGGTTTGACGGGTTCAGGAATTCAGAAATCCCTGCTGGTTGGCATTATTGGTGTCAGATATATTGCCCTGCCTCTGATAGGTATTGCTGTAGTCAAAGGAGCTATTCACTTGGGCTTGGTGCAACATGATCCGTTATATCAATTTGTTCTTCTACTTCAATTTGCACTTCCACCAGCAATGAATATTGGTAAGTCAATTCAACTATGTTCAGCTCTTGTTGAAAATTTCTACTTGTTTATCTGTCCTATTGATTTCATGTTTCTTAACTTTTTTGCCTGACCACAGTTTCAGAAATTCAGAGATCCCTCTCTGTTAGCTCAGCAGCATTAAATAGACTCATATCATGATTAAGATATTGCTATTTTAAGAAATTGCTATTTCAAAGCTTTACACTATCATGATTCTCCCAGTTAGGCACTTGCAAATTGTTATTTCAAATATGAATGCTACATACAAAGGTTCTATATGGGATGACACAGTTTCTTGTTTCACTTGGCAGGAACCATAACACAGTTATTTGGAGCTGGTGAGAGCGAGTGTTCAGTAATTATGTTTTGGGCTTATGCATTGGCTTCAGTATCACTTACTCTGTGGACTACATTCTTCATGTGGCTTGTAGCTTGACTTCATTTTTATATCAGACCTATTCAAGTTTACATGGCATGTGCAATGTTCTATTTTGTCGAAATCACAGACTCATAACAAACCAAAATTCGCAAAAACTGGAATTTAAAGTTATAACCATGTTTTCGTTGTCATATAGTCATAATAACACTATTGGAGTAGAGAAGACATTCTTGTACTGTGGCTCTAATATTGCAGTTGCTTTCAGCAGAACAAGGCACTATTAGAGATAATCAAAGAAGGGAAAAAAAAAAAAGCAGGGACGGAGATACTTAAACTTTGGAGATAATATGCAGCTAAAACACTTCAAGCAATTCGATAGCAAAATCTATCATTCCACATAATTGTGCTACACTGATCCAATTGATATAGAAAGACAAAGTTTTTAGGTGAAGCTAGTCATACTAATTGATACTATTAAAAGATGCTTGAGAAAAGCAATAAAAGCTTGCGATGAGGGGTTAGATGGGTTTGTTGATCTCCGGTGATGAGAAATTTGCAATTTTTCAACAGATGGGTCATGAGCGGGACTTCAGAGAGGAGTTTTGTCCAAATCATCGAAATAGGGATGTTCCATAGCTTTCTTTGCTGAAATCCTCTTAGCTGGCTCATAATGCAACATCTCCTGCAAGCACATATGTTGCCAAACCATAAATCATGCGCTCATTCTAACAGGTTAGTTAAGCCAGAGAAGTCCTCAAAAAGTCAAACACTTACAGTTAGAAGGTGGAGCCCATCTTCATCTAGACCAGGGACAGCAGTTGAGAGTGGCTGGGGGTTCCATTGGGGGTATTCATGCCAGTTTACTAGCTTGCTCACCCCGGGCCAGAGTTCTTCATTAGGAGTACCTAGCAATCTGCAACCCAGTTACTGTCAAGATTAGAATAGTGGAACAGGTGAGGAAAAGAGCTCAAAGCAGGTGACTATTAGCTCCAAACCTGAAAATGTGAAGCAGTTGTTGCAGCTCAGAGTCTCCTGGGAAGAGGGCTTGTTTTGTGACCAGTTCAGCTGAGGTTAAAAGCAAACCACACTCCATGTTAGCATATTACACAACCCAAAAGGAAGAAAAGACCATTCGGAAGACAAAGGATGAACAGGAATTTTACCAAAGATACAACCAACAGACCACATGTCAACTGCTGTGGAGTAATGAGTAGCTCCAAGAAGAACCTCAGGGGCTCTATACCATAGGGTTAATATCTGAAGAAAAAGGAACACACAGTGATTTAAACAAGCCATACATAAATGATGAAAGCTGCTGCCGCAGAATAGCAAAAGTACCTCATGCGTGTACTTCTTGATGGGCAGAGTATAAGCTCTGCCAAGTCCAAAATCTGCTAATTTGAGCACATTCGTCTTACGGTCCATCAGAAGATTGTGTGGTTTCAGATCCCTGCAGCAACAAGTGTCGAACAATTAAAGAGGTGACTAACAAACCATGAAAATAGGCATTCTTATGACTTGTGTGTAAGGTACAGCAGTGGTTTTACCTGTGTAACACGCCATGACCATGGCAGAAAGCAACTCCTTTGCATAGTTGGTACATCAAGCTCTATTTCAAAGAGAACAGACTTATCAATTACTTGTTAAATTGCAGAGTAATAAATGAGGCAGTAGTAGCATATCGCTCTAAACATTCGGACTACAAACCTTGACAGTTTTAGGGGGAATGTTTTCTCCATTTGCGCGGAAACTACGAATAAATTTCTTGACATCAGTATCCATGTACTCAAAGACCAAGTAGAGAACCGTCTTTCCTTCTTTGTTCTGGCCTTGTTTAACATCCATCAGTCTGATTTACAAGATACAGATATCAAACGTCAATAACAAATTACAAAACTAAAGTGAAAAGGACAGATTAATTGAAATAGAGATAATGCCTAATCGCAGAGAAACAAATTTGCAAAAGAAATTTCAAGCAATTAGGTAAAACTAACAAACCCTAGGCAGAGAATAGAGAAATGCGAGTGAGGGTATACATACTTGACAATGTGAGGATCCCTAGAGAGCATCCGCAGAAGAGAGATCTCGCGGAGAGTAGTGGGAGGAACACCTTCTTCGTCCTCGTGAAGCCTCGTCTTCTTCAGTGCTACGATTTTGCCAGTAACCCTATCTCTCGCTCTGTACACCTTTCCGTAAGTACCTTCCCCTACCTTCTCAAGCTTCTCGAATGCTTCCATTGCCGATGCACTCTTTTTTACAGTCTCCATTTCTCTCTCTCTCTCTCAATCGCTCTCTGCTCTGTTTATGGTTTTTGAATTTTGTGTAAATGATTTCTTTGACGGAGCGCCTCAATGGGCCTTTATATATTAGTATACAAAACATAACCGTCTTCTCGTCGCACAACGGCAGTATTTTTGAATTTCAAACGAGAGATTTACTTTCATTTCTAATTCCTTTACTGCCCCTCTGTTTTTTCGAATCCCTCCTACTTTTGAGTTCTCCTCTATTTTCCTTTTCGCATTTCTTCTTTTTTCCTTCTAAATTCATTTATTTTGCTGAACTAGTGGTGTTAATACACATTAAAGGGATCCTTTGGTATGCAGACTATATTATCCCGGGATTATAATCCTGTATAATTTCTACCTGGGAGGTGGGATAAAATAATCCCAAGTTTGATAGGATAGGATGAGATATCCAGAATTAAGTTCGAGATTAAATTTATATCGTGTTTGGTTGGCGGTATAAATTATCTCAGGATAAATTTATACCGCCAACCAAATACGGTATCAATTTAATCCCACATCTTATCCTCCCTTATCCAGCAGACCAAATTTTTTACACATCTTACTGGTTATTGACAAGTGAAACTCATCCCTGTCCAACAATAGTGCACTTTTATCACCAATCCATAAGTTGGATGTCCAGACTCATGTTAAGAAGTAAAAACAATGCTATTCCTTATAAAGTGAGGCAGGATAAAAACGCATATCCTATTGGAAAAATTTACTCATGCTCGACATTTTTACCAAAACCACATTAAATTTACCATGATTAGGTGATAGATTTAGTTGACAATATAAAAGTATGTATAACAGACACATTCCATGTATTTGTTGATTAGTATAAACACCCGGTGAGGTAAGTATTTTCCCTATCCTACTGGTTATTTGAAAAACAACCTGCATTTATACTTAGTAGAGCTAAAGTGCACAAGATGAATGCGATTTCTTGCTTTCCTAAGTAACATCCTCCGTGTTAAGTCTTTGCATTTGAAACCCCAAGCCCCTACAAGCAGGCTTGAATTGGATAGCTTCATATTTCTCGATCAATCCCTCCTTGTTCACATCTTTGTTGAAAGAACTACTGTTGTGATTCCTTGCATAAGGATTCAGAAAATACCGTGTTACTGCCTGCACATATCATTAGATGTATATACATAACACAAGTCCTCGACATTAATCAATACCTCACTTGTAAAGAACAAAAAGCCGCGTAGCAGATACAAAAGCAGTTCATACACTTACAACGCCTAGTTACCCCTACCTAAATACAGCTCTCGTATCAGATCTAATTCAACCATATAGACGGAAACTGGTGCATTGTAATCCTTCCTCCATAGCAAGACGATAACACATGCAATCCTGAGAGGCAAAAAGTGCTCGGTATACTTGGGAGTCACAAGTTTCTCCGACGGTAGTGTATATATAAAAAGAATTTGAAGTGCCTTCTATAGTTCAAGTCATTTGATTAAGCCTCATACTTTGTACCTTCAAAGATATTCTCAGCTTCTGCTCCTCCATTTCCCTCAATATACTCAACAGTTTTGCTCGATAAGCTTCACATATCTCAGTTGCATTTACCACAGCAGTCGTTAATTCCTGAATTTTCTCATCTTGACTCTACAAAAGGTACAACAAATGCATATTGTGTCAGTTGCACTGGTTAAAAGCGCATCAGAGAACTATATGTTGAACTTCTATTAGGAAAGCTAGTCTCCCGACAATGTGAGTGAAAATTAGAGCCCACAGTCTCAAGCAGTTCTACTAGTCAAACAATCTCCTTAACCTATGAATCATATTCATGAAAAGGTACAAAAAATGCATATTGTGTCAGTTGCACACTGAAATCATTGACGCATGAATAGTTAAAAGAGCATCAGAAAACTAATAAGTTGAACTTCTACTAAGGAAACCTAGTTGCCCAACAATGTGAATTAAAATTCGAGCTCACTGTCTCAAGTCTATCTATTTGTGAAATGATCTCCTTGTTGTACTCTGAATTTATGATTGATCAACATACTTCTCCCACGCCGAAAAAAGAAAAAAAGAAGGAAACAGAAAAAACACACTACAACAACAGTACCAGCAGCAGGCCATTGTGCTGAAGAAAAAGCTATTCCAACCATGATATCGAGTTATAAGATATTCATGGGTCACATCCACGATATGGCTGTTTCTTGACTTGGGGTGAAGGGGCTGGCAGGATTTCCTTTCTAAAGCCATAGATCAGATCCAGTCCCCAGGAATCATGCAGTAAAATTGCTAAGACTAACGCAAATTTTAATGTTCGTAAAAAATCATAGGAGTGACTTGGGCATATAACTGGACAAAACTTCGGTGCTAAATGCTAGCATTAGTTTCACATAAACCTGATTAGAATTCCTCCTTGGCTGTAATACAAGAGATTAGAGTACAATTTAAATAAATAGAAGTAATACAGAAAAGAAAATTAAAACATAAAAAGGAAGAAGAGCAAGTTTATAGGACTGCTGAAAAGGAGAGCAAAAGATGAATATGACCATACATGGTGAGCAAGAATAGGATGGCAAAGGATCAACATTAGCAGGGAGGGTTGTGGGAGGAAAAGAAAAAGGGTGGGCAGCGTTAGAAGGCTTCAAGAGCCAAGGCAATGCAGATATATGAGCGACCTAAGATTGACTCGGGATAATCACCCCATTTATAAAGCTTAAACTAAGATTTAGGTGTGGAGACAAAAGTAATAGCCAGCTGCTATTGGTTTCAGTAAAAGCAGGTTTTAGGGTTTAGGGGAAGTAGTACCTTGTGATAGAATCAGAGAGCAGCATCCAAAAACACCCAACTTACCCCAAAAAAAAAATCATCT